GTATTCTATCGATTATATTCAATAATTATTTTGTAAATCATTCTAATTAAACAATGGTCTTTTGATGGAGATATTATTGGGTAATAAAATAATAAATAACTAACTGACTGATAATTAAAACTTTTGAGACTTTTTATCATTTTGAAGTTAAATAAGCAATTGTGTTATCCTAGTTTATAACATATCACCAAAGATGTCACATTTACAATTTTATATGAATTTTAATCTTAAATCATTAACAGTAAAGGGATTTGTGGAGATTGTAGTACTGTCAAAGTTGAATTCACGAGTCAATTTAAGCTAGACCAATAATGAAAACCCGGGAGCACTGGATAGGCGTTTCGTTCTAGTATGGGAGTACTCAGTAGTGCACGATTCCGCACACAGGACTGGGACCCAGGAATTTTGATGTCGTGCACTAACGCTTAACCTCTAAATCACTGAGCCAGTATCCAACGCTGTTAATGTCTAACTTCAATTGACTCAACGTAAGGGATTGTGAATACGCACTACCGAGGAGTCTCATGCTAGGACGAAACGACCGTCTATCGATTCCAGGTTTTCAATAGTGGTCTAGCTTAGAATTCAACGTTAAATCATTAAAGATAATTTTTATTTAATCGAAAATTGACTGGTGTTTACAGTGTGTACGATTTTACAATTAAAGTTAATCATGTAGAAGTATTGTCGGTTTTCTGTTTACTATGTGAAAAAAAGTTACAATTGCAGTTCCCGTTTCAATCCTTTTGAAGAGTTAAAAAATGTTATAGAAGTATGAAAATAAAGATAAATCAACTGTTACTGATTTTCAATGACTCTTCAACTAGTTGAAATGATCCTTAAATTATACAAAAAATCTTCATCTTTAAAACTTCTTCGTTTAATATAATAATTTAACGGTACAATAATACAAAAGAAACTAGAGTCATTGCTAACTTACCTTAGTTTCATGGACTTCGTGTGTGCATATAAATAGATCTTTCATCAAGACTTTATTATTCTGCAGTATCAGCTGACTTTAGCTAGACAATCGCTGAAAACCAGGAAATATCGTGGAGCTGTTTCGTCTTAGTATAAGGCTTCTAAGTATTCTTCATTTACAACCTCATCATAGATCAAACCCACAACTTTCAGGAATTATATCGAACACTTAACATTTATGGATCACTAAGTTGACATCTACTGGTTTGTATTTCAAATTTTAATCACTTTGTGACATAAATCTAAAAACTTTCGACAAAACTTTACACATCCACAATATTAAAAAAGAATTATTTGGAATAGACAAAAACAACAGCTTGATCAATGTATTTATGACATAATTACGTTTAATCACAATAATCAAATAAGAATAATATGAAGGAGTTTATTGAGATTGTAAGGTTTTCAAAACTTAAATCACGAACTGATTTTAGCTAGACATCCAGTGAAGACAGGGAACACCGGACACTTATTTCCTCCTAGCATCGAATAGTTCAACAGTGCGCACCCCACCAATGATTGGATCCAGGACCTTTGTGAATAGTTTGAACTTAGACATGTATATCGCTGGATTTCTATTCAGTCGTCAAGACACTGAGAGTTTGGATGCGAAACCAAAGTTCCTGGGCTCGATCCCCAATGCGGTCGTCGATGCTTACTGTTGGGAGGTCCTATGCAGGGATGAAAAAATTTCGTCTGGTGCTTTTTGGTTTCAACGGTGGTTCATTCAAGATCAGTTTGTGATTTAATACCAAGAAAATTCCACTATCTTCACAAACCCCATCATACTAATAAAAAATAATAACAGTAATCAATTATGAATATGCATGTGTCACTGGCCTATAGCAAATGTAAGATCAAAGGTTAATGAATAATAATAATAATAATAATTCACTTTCACATAGCGAACTTTGAGGTCAATATTGCCATTATCATTGTTACCCAGTTACCACATAATATTGGATAGAGCCATAACAATAATAATAGTAACATCACAAAGTATTTTTGTTATTGTCTTATTTGAATGATATTAAGTTGAAACCCAACTCTAAGTGTTAATATTCCACTAAATACACTGATGGAAATCGATCATAACAACCACAACAACAACAATAACTACTACTACTACCACTACTACAAAATGGACAGAAATGAAACAGAAACATTATAAATGAATAATCGAATTAAGTTATTTCCATTTTGTTACATGTGTTTCTTCTTCTTCTTTTCCAATGGTGTTGGTGGTAGTAGTGGATGAGGGTTTGTGGGAAGAGATAATTATTTTTCGTTTAGACAGTTACAATAGTAAATTAATTCTTAAACAATGAACATAAATGTCATAGGTTAATTAATTTCATTATTAAGATAATATTTTTTTGTCTACCCTGAAGATTTCATGCATTTTGAGATTTCACGTTAGTTACTTAACTATTGGATATAATGGTAGCATTAAATGAATATTTTCTTCTACTTTAAAGAAACTTTACAAGTTTCTACCTGTTACTTTAAACAGATTTTAAACTAGCAACTTTAAGGTCACAGGAAAAAAATGACATTATTCGAAGACTGGATTAAAGTTCAATCATTAACGGATGTTAGGTTGTTGGAAGTAGTTGGTAAAATATCTTACATAAACTTAGTTCTGTGCTGATTGCCACTTGTTAGCATGACTCACTTAGAATCTTGAGGGAACTGATGCTACCGGATGGATTCGAACCTGAAATATCAACAGATAATTTACAATTTTAATAATCGAATAATTTGGTCTTCTTTTTATAGTACTATGTAGAAAATAATTTCCAGAAACTTGAAATTATCAATTGATCATCTTGTTTTATGATAGAATATCAATATTCAATTATATTGACTGTTATAAATTACGTGGATGATAATTTCAATGACATACATATACGAGAAGGGGTTTGATGGACATTTTAGTAATTTTATAGAGTTGAGATCATCAGTCAATTGAAGCTAGACCACCATCGAAAACCTATAAGCACTGGACGGCCGTTTCGTTTTATTATTCGACTCCTCAGCAGTGCGCATCCACGAGCCCACACTCGATGGATGCTCACTGCTGAGGAGTCGAATAATAAAACGAAACGGCCGTCCAGTGCTTATAGGTTTTCGATGGTGGTCTAGCTTCAATTGACTGATGATCTCAACTCTATAAAAAAAAACATATATATACATCTACACCTTCTCAAGAGAACTTATACTACTATGAAACCAATATTTTTTGGATAAATTTATTCGATTAAAGAACAATTATGCAAACATATTCAAATTTTTGCAAACTATTCAATTCATCAACATTTTGAAAATAAATAAAATAATTTAGTGCAAAAAACAACTCCATTTTCAACCATATCATGTACTCATGTTGTACTAACGTATTTATTGTTAGCAAGAATACATAAGTTTGTAATAAGATAGAAAAACACCATGTCCAATAGAATAGTGATTGAAAATATTTTCAAGAATTGGAATAAATTACATAATAGATCAAAGTGAAAATAGATTATAGATGAAAGAGAATTGTGAACTTGATGAATATTAAGAAATAATAAATAAATTGTTTGTAATCATTAAATATAGACAGTTATGTAAAGATATAACGGGGAATGGGAAATATCGTGTATTGATTGACATCAATGCTATTGAATGACGTCTCAGTGGTTTAAGGATTAAGTATTCACATGCAAGATCTAAGGTCCTGGGTTGAACTCCCGGGTGTGAATAACGGATGACCATTACTGAGAAATTTCATACTAAGACGAAATAGATATTCAGGTTTTCGGTGGTGGTCTAACTAACATCAGTTTGTGATATAAAATATGATAATGAAAAAGTGTTGGAATGAAGATATTGTTTATAAGATAGAAATTATTGTCCGTTCGATAATTTATGAAAAGCGAATGATTAACTGTTATAATAATATCAGAAGGGGTTTTTGTGAATATTATAGTAATTCTCAATAGTTGAGATCATTAATCAATTGAAGCTAGACCACCATGGAAATCCTGGAAGCAGTGGATGTCCGTTTCATCATAATGTGGGACTCCTTAGCAGCGGGCGTCCACGGTCCCGCCTCACAAGATTCGAACCCAGAAACTATCAGTCTCGCGCGCTAGCGTTTAACCACTAGATCACTGAGCCGGCATTTAACGTTGTTAATGTCTAACTTCAACCGATCCACAAAATTGAGCGACACATCCAGCAATATCTTCAGTGAGTTATAATAATAACTAATTAGTAATTATGGAAAAAAATTAATCATGAAGAAATAAGATCAATGAATTATTGAATATGGAAGATACAATTGAAGGAGGTGAAGCATGATCACCATAAGTTGAAAGAGTGTGTTGCTTAAGCACGCAGTGTATAATCTGGAATCAGGGGATTTCTTATTAATATTTGAGTTACTAATGAGTAGTTTCTATAAACATTTATCATGATTGGTTTACTTACTAAATTTTTACTAACATACAGATTCACATGTATATATATACTCCTTTATGTATCACATCAAATGATTTACATTCTTACCATGAACAATACCAAGATTTAAATATGATTAGACAAACGTTTATTATAGTCTTATTATAGACCTTATTTATAATTTGGCAATTTTTATTTTGAATTATTTCCTTGAACAAGCTTAGACTTGATTACATATTGAAAGTTTGGAATTATTTGAATCTCCATTACTGAGATTATCGCAAATACAATTTTTATAGATCATTTCTTCTTATACAAGTTTCAACGAATGTCTATACAAATTTACCAAGATTTATATGAATATAGCCATTTATATAGATGAATTTTACTATGTCTACACCGATAAACTTACATTATAAACATTTTAGACTACAATTGGACTTTATGGAACATTGAAAATTTAATTTGCATTAAGGTAGGCATAATTTAAAGTTGTTTTTTTTGTTGAGAAATACACCAGTACATACAATATAACATTTACGTATTCATAAGTGACAGTGTAATATAAATATCTTTATAAGTCGAAACAAACATTTGATCACTACGATTATTATCATAGTAAAGGTGACCAATAGTTTGAAATGGTTCAGTCAACATTCAAGTCGAATGAATAAATGTTACACGGTGTCTGTTGTTTTGTTTCTTTATTGCAACGAATGATTTTCATTCCCTTTTTTTACTCCTTTTAATTTTTATGCAGATTATATGTATGAAATCAGTAATCAATATATGGAATATTAATTTCAACGATGAATAGTAATAATAATAATAATAGTAATCCATTAAATTATTACCGAGAGACCAATTTCGCTCACCGTCAGGATATATGTTTTAGTGATTTGAATAATAATTCATGGAAATGGGATCTGTTGAATATATCATCTAATTTATTCAGAGTAGAGGCGATCAAATCAACAAGTCAATCATTATCAATACATTCTTCAATGAGTGACCCAACATTATATCCAGTTGAAAATTTTGAAAATGCCAATACAAGTAAGTGTGATTTATCTTTAAAAATATAGTACATTAAATGTTTTTGCTAATTATTCTATTCACTGAAATGTAATATTTTTGTTATACTACACTGAAGTCATGAATCGATCTAAGTTAAATAGACATTAAAATCGTGAGAGCATTGAACGTCCGCGACCCTGAAACCAAGAATCAAACCTTCTTTTTTCGTACGCGAACACTTAACCTCTCTGTTATAATTGATGGTAGTGAATAAGCATAATTTTAGTTTGCGGTCTACATTTTAATCTTTAATCACTTGTTTATACAAACTGGCACATAATTCTTAGTCATACCATTTTAGATGGATATATTGTACGTAAGTAAAGAGTAGTTCTGATTTATTAATATATATTCACTTTGTAAATTAATTGACCAGTGATGATATCTTCTGAAATTTATGTTGAGATTTGGAGATTATTTCCGTGAACAAAGCTATCAATTTAGCTAACTGTGTTATTATCACTTATTTGTGAAATTGATTAAACTAGCAGATCTCTCTTCTTCCTACCAGAAGTCACATATTGATATCAACTGAATATAACTCTTAGAAATAGTGATCAACATGTACCACTTTAACATTCGTTGCGCATAATGAAAAGATTGACTGTTTATTCTTCATTAAATTTAGTCATTTATCGGAATTTAGAGTTTTCATTGAATGACATATAGAATTTAGATTGAAACTTTAGGATTGCTGTTAAGAGGTCAGTGGTAGCTCCAGTTGACGCAATCTATTTTATTTTCTGCTAAACTCTCGATACCTGAATTTCATACTTTCAACTAAGAGCTTTTTAAAGATCATTCTTTTTTTCCAGTCAATTCCTTATCACAGTGTGTTCTGTATTTCCATGTTTCGTTGTTTTTTTTAAAGACCATAATAACATGTAACAATCCATCGATAAAACTGAACACTTTTAATTGTATGACATTTGATTCATGATGGACTGGCATCACCAATCGAAGTACTAAAATTTAGATACGATTAAAGAGGTATTTCGTCTTAGTTTTGGATTATAAGTCATTGGGCCTCAAATGAACACACTGGATTATATTCAGAGCTTTCAAGTCTTTTGACGAATAAGGGACCAGTGAGTTTGAAAGCGTGTCATAACGTTAATGAGAAATATTACGGAAAACTGTAGTATGATCGTCAAAGGCCTATATTCCAAAAAGTCGTTAAGTCACTGAATTTTATCCCACAAAATGACCACCTCCTATACTTTACCTATTCATTTCCAAATTCAACAAGTAATCAGTGGTATAACATTAATCAGGATAGGATGTGTAAATGACAAAACTACTTGAATTATTATCTTGTTTACGCTAAAAATGAAAGCTCTTTATCGTTACAGGTACGTCGAAGGTTTCCCCCAAATATATGGAAGAAGAAGAAGAAAAATGCAATCACACATCTTCAGCTTAAATAAGCCAGTATTTAGTGTTCGTACTCCAATTTTGTGAACTATACATTCCATGACTAAAACAGAAACAAGCATGCCACAAACCAGCATACATTCGTTTTAACTTTCAATAAATGTAAATTAATCTCTTTGATTACACCATCATCGTCAGTGAAATCCACATAATTATTCAATCACACTTGTAATTTATCTTTATAGCTAGTATGAAAATCATTTTATAAACTTATTATTCTTTGTACATAGTATCAATCTTTATACATTCTTCCTCCCTTTTTTCCTTTACTATTTTACAGATTTGGAGAAAACAATTAAAGAGAAAGGTATTTTTAATGAATTATCAATACAAAAGAATCCTGAATATGTCAATCAATCTAATAACAATAATAATAATAATAATAACCAACCAATTGATTTAACAATGAACCATCATCAACACCATCGTCATGAGAATCAATTAAGTTATGAGCATACAACATCATTGTTTCATTCAAAAATGAAATATAATACAAATGAACAATATATCAATAGAATATGTCCTGGTAAGAAATGATCTTAGCATTATTAATAATATTATAAAGAATGATTTGTGTAAAGAAATGCTACAAATTAGTGAGCAATGAATAGGTAGTCTTTATTCACTACCGTACACTGGATCACATCCATTATCTACAGGTCTAAAATTGAAATGTGAATGATTGAATTCCAAATAATTTATCTCAATGATAATGTGTTTACTATATGACCTAAAAGTCCTAGGTTCGATTTCGGTTTGAAGCTATAACAACTAATTGAACGTTAGAAATTATAAACTAACGGAGAGGTGTTTAGTCCTTGTTTGGAACTACCCAAAACCACTTGATCCCAAATTACTAACTGATTAGTATCATTGGATTATTTCACCATGAGTTCTTAGACTGAAGCTTAACTGAAATCTACAGAGTGTACACTTCTGTGTAGTCTTTAATTACAGTCAAAAAAGTGTCTTTTGATTAGAAGTTACCAACGTTTTTTCAATTTATATTGCTTTAAACCAAAACTTGGCATCTGTCGATGAAGTCAGTGACTATTGAGCCGAGCCATGTAGATAGCGGACTTATTGGTTAGGTTCTGTTCATTTATAGTATTTGTTGAAGACTTTGGGTGATATGGCTCACAGTCCATAAAAATGGCCCAGATCAGTTTAGTCTTTATCTCCCATTAAATCTTGTTTGTTTTTTAAAAGAAATAGTCTTATACTTTTTTATTCCATCGACTCATTCCTTATTCTCGAACTAGATGGTTTATGTTTAGTTTTTTCTACTAACATTAATACTGTTGTCACTTCTATTACTCTGATATTTGTCTTGAAGTGATGTACATATGGGTCAGCCTCTACTATGCTTAAGATTGACTCCATAATAAAAAGAAATGATAATCAGCCTTTATATTGATGAAATCTCCATAAACCACATAACAATTTTACATCAGATTTGAATAAGAATTTCGGAACATACATCTTCAAGTAAATGGCCATAAATAAAAACTCAAAACAAAAAGAATTCAGCGAAGAAACTTTTATTCTCGACAAAATCATTGACTCAGGCTGTACGTTCTTACTTACAGTTGTTCAAATAAATATATGAATCTATAAAAGAACAAAAAAAGATTTCACAATAAAGATGATCCGAGATTTCAAATATCAAAAGGTCGCTAAATTATCCATTCAATAGCCCAATGAATTAGTTTAACTGTTTTAAAACCATATTTCTATATTTCTTAATATGTTTATGAAAATATATTCAAACTCATTATGATGTGTCAATACATTTGATTACTTGGTAGTTTTTTGTGCCCATGGATCTGACTTCAATTAGATCGTATGAATGATTGTTAGTGAATGATTGCTGTCGAAATTAATATGTCGCCAATCTTCGTATATAATCATAGACTTGAATTGCGTTAGTGAATAACGGAATTAAATTAGTCAAATATGAGAATGGATTTTTGAATACGTATATTTTATGCACTTGTTGGTCTGGACAAACAAACAGAGGGACGAAGTGAAGAAAAGAGAGAGAAGCGAAATGAAGCCCAATTAAGAAGTTAAATGAGCCAACTCTATTTAACTCAGCGTGAATCAATATTTATGGACAGATATGTAATGAGTAAGATAAGAAAGGGATATAAGTACACTTACATAAGAACAGTCAAGGTTGATAAGCGAATAATTAACGAAGTCAAAATCTAGCTTGAAAATAATGGATAAATTGGTTTGTCCAGAAGGTAGAATAAGCTATGTGGACTGGACATAGAACCAGTCACTACAAGTTTAAACGAGGTTGATTAATATAAAGATCATTTTCAAGAATTTATGTCATTTGAAAAATTAAAACTGTCAGAAAGAACGCCATTTATTGAGTCTTCTCATAAGTGTTTATGTGTAACTTTTCTAGTTTTATAATCTGAAGTTAAGTGATAGACATCATTCTTTTTTACAATCTTCATCATTCAATATCTCTATACATATTTATTCTTAGTAAACACTTGTAAGTATAATATCAGAAAATTCCTATTTAAAGATCTTAAGTGCGACCAAATAGATGAACGGCCATTGAATCGCTGCACAAATATATACCATGTCATTGTTCTTTCAATTTCTAGTAATATGCCTACTGATTTCATTTTCTGAAAGTAAATTATTACATTAAGCTTTTCTATTACTCCCCCTTCCCCTCCACCCACACACACATTTCACCATTAGTATGCATTGAATATACACTCGTAATAATTTTAGTTCAGTTTTATCAGTTAAGTGTTGTAAACACACACAAATCCTTTTAAAAAAAACCGTTACGCATGTGATGGTAATAATAAGGATTAAACTCAATTCCATTTGATACATTTATCAAAACATAACACTCATGTGATAAAAATTATGTGATATTGAACAATAATGATTCATTGTTTAATGTCTATAATGCAATTAAGATACATTTTATGCAATTAAACATTTGAATTGTTAATTTAATACGAACTGAGTAGCACACAGTACAATATGTTATACAATACATGAATTAGGGCACGTGGAATATATATATATATATATATATATATATATATATATATATATATAATTTTAATGATCCAAATGGGGATTGTGAAGATTGTACCAATTTTAATGGTTGAATTCATGAGTCGATATAAGCTAGACCACCATTGAAAACCTGGGAGGATTGGATGGTTGCGCAGCTATTCATGGAGCGATGAGAGTTGGATATCGTCTCAGTGGTCTACAGGTTAAGCGTTCGCGCACCCAGACCGAAAGCTCTGAGTTCGAATCTCGTGTATGGGATTGTTGATTTAGAAATGATTCATTGCTAATTGAGCAGCACGGTATGATATATTATTACTTACTCACTTAATTACGCCTGTTACCCCCAATGGAGCATAGGCCCCCAACCAGCATTACCCAATCCACTCTGTCCTGGGCTTTCCTTTCTAATTCTATCCAACTTTTGTTCATTCTTCTCATGTCTGTTTCCATTTCTCGGTTTAATGTGTTCATTGACCTTGAGGATTCCATGTGAGGGCTTGCCTTGTGACGTAATTAAGTGCTTTCCTCAATGTATGTTCTATCCACTTCCAGCTCTCCTTGATTTCTCCCTCCTCTGAAATCTGGTTTGTTCTCTCCCACAGTAGAATGTTGCTGATAGTGTCTGGCCAATGGATCCGAAGTATTTTGCGTAGACAACTGTTAATAAACACTTGTAACTTGGGGATGATGGCTTCGTAGTTCTCCAAGTTTCCGCCTCATATAGTAGAACTGCTTTGACATTTGTATTCAAAACTCTGATTTAGCTTATAAGTATATCACTTAATGGCAAACAAAACTAAATAAGGAAACGCTACTCAGTTACCTCATACTCGTAGGGGACGCCTTAGTAGTGTGGGACTACGAAAATACTAAGGATCGAACCCAGAACCTGCGGGTCTCGCGAATGAAAAATTAAACTTTAGACCATTAAGCTATTGTCCAATAGTATACAAGTCTAACTTTGACCAGTCGACGATATTGTGCATTATCCATCAAAGACAATGAAAGATAGTAACACGATATTGTGAATCGACCAACGTTGGACATGTAAATTATTGGATTTCAGGCCAGTGGTCTAAAGGTTAAGTGTTCATTGGTGAGATCCGAAGGTTCTGGGTTTAATTACAGGTTGCAGGGTCTTAGATGCGCACTGCTGAGGAGTTCCATACTAGGACGAAATGGCCATCCGGTGCTTTCTGGGTTTATGATTTCGACAAACTTCAGCAATCTCTACAACCTAATGCTGATAACTATATTTTCAAACTTAAAAAGTGGAACGTTAATAGGTTAACAGAATATTCAAATGAATATTTTGCTACTCTGTTTTAAATGTAATCAATAGCTTAAAAAGAAATCAATTTTGAAGTTCATTCAGACTGGAAGTGAGATACCAACTTAATGTCATTATTGAACTGGTAGGTCAAACAACATCAAAGACTGATCGAAACTGAAAATGTGAAAGGTCATGTTTCTAATTCATCATATTTGTTGAAAGAACTAAGTATTCGATCATTAGATTTCATTTGTACTCATTGCTGAAGAATTTCAAACTATGACTAAACTGTTATTTGCAGTTCACTGGTTTATGCCAGTTATACATTTACTTTAAGTTCATGATAAAAACTATCCTCATACTTAATAAAGTCTTTACAAATTATTTATCTAAATATTTATTTTGATAGTTGACATCATGAATCAATTGAAGCTAAACCACTATGGAAAACCTGGAAGTACTGAACGGCCGTTTCGTCATATTATGTGTCGCTCAATTTCGTGGATCGGTTGAAGTTAAACATTAACACCATTGGATGCCGGCTCAGTGATCTAGTGGTTAAACGCTCGCGCGCGAGACTGATAGGTCCTGGGTCCGAATCTCTCGAGGTGGGATCGTGAATGCGCACTGCTGAGGATTCCAAGAATAAGATGAAACGACCGTCTAGTGCTTCCAGGATTTCCATGGTGGTCTAGCTTCAACTGATTCATGATCTCAACTATCAAAATAACTATAATATCCACAAAACCCCTTCTGAAAATAAGTATTTATTGTTTTTAATTATGAATTAATGTATGTATATGTGTATGTGAGAGAGGTTTAAATATTAACATCACCCTATTTTAGTTCACAATATAAAGAGTTGCATTCAAATGTATTTAGACTAATTGTTAACTGTACGATAATTGTTGTTATTTTCATTCAATTTTTCACTTTTCTTGTCAGAATGTCATGATTTCTAGGTAAAAAAAATATAGAAAAAAACAACAACATTGTTTTAACTGACTAAAGGTAATCAACCATTTTCGACGCCATTTTCAATCCATTACTGATGCATCTATCTTCATATATTAAAACAACCTCATTTTATGGTCAATCTTTACAGTAACACAGTATTTTGTCTTTTATAAACAAAACAAAAATAGTTTAGACACCATTCTATTAGAGAAATACATACATACATACAAATAATTGAATGCCCTGTCCACAGAGTGGTCATAGGTCTTTGTATAAACAAAAGAATAATAGAACAGCAATAACAAATTTGAATTTATTTTTTTTTATAAAAAAGGTAGTTGTGAAAATAACTTTTTATCTTAGTTTAACAATATTCTGTTAAATTGTGGTTTTAATTTTTTGTGTCAAGCTGTCAGCATATTTTCTAAATATGCTGCTAACACAATGTATGAGCTATACTGGCTTTTTTAACTTTACAGTTGATGATCCATACGATGAATTTATTTTTCCAGGTTGTCAGTGTGTGTGTGTGTGTGTGCGTGCGTGCATATGCGTTTATCCCTGTATTGAAGAGTAAGAGAGATAGTACAGGGGAAACTACTTTTGTCTCATATTAAATCTATTTAAATACTAATTTTCGATTATAATTGTTGTGTTTAACTGTTTGTTGGAATAATATACGAACAAAATAATCGGTGACATTATTATTATTACTGGCAGGGGGTCTTCACTTAGATGGTTAATATTAATGCTCGCTTTTTTACAAATAAATTATTTCACAATTGTTGATTATATCTATGAAACAATAATTTTTGGCAATTTGAAATAACAATGGAATACACACTGTTGGTAGTAGAATATGTATAGTAATGTAAATGTCTTCTAACAAATGAACATGTTATTTATTTAAAAAGTCTCTTGTAGAACTGAGATATTTACGTTAACTCATCACTGAATGGTGGTCAATGTAGTGGTTCCTTAGTTCTTAGTGGTGATCAAAATATGTCAGTCAGTCACTGTCCGAATAAATTTGATTTCAACAAGGAGAATCAATTCCCGAAGATTCCAAGTAAACTTTACTAGTGAATGAAAATTAGCATGTTACCTAGATCAAGCAGAATTTCTTACTGACTACTTCCACCTAATATCAAAACATGTTGTTAATATCAAGAGGGGTTTGGGTAGGTTGTTTACAGCTTGAAGACAGTTTGTAACACGAACTGGTTTTATTGAAATAACTATTTAAAACTACGCAACGATCAAAATCTACATCGTCTTATCATGGGCTGAAAATCTGAAGGTTTTAGGTTTGCATCTTTGTTGAGGTCAGTAATGAACACAAAAATAAGGAGTGTTGACAGCAAAAAATATAATCTGTGTAATTATTCACATTGAAATGTTGGTATAGTGGTTGTGGTAGCCAACTTCCAACCTCTCAGTTATACATAGTTTTAAACCTCTTTACACCAGCTTAATTGATGCCACTAACCATAATCGAGAAAGAACATGGCATTTCAAGTCAAATTCTTGAAACTTTTGTTTGAGTACTGAAACATATTTCAATCAAATCAAATAATTTAAACTAATCATATATTTCATTAAAATCATGAACCGATTAACGTTAGATCACTATAAAGAACCTGGAAGCACTAGACAGGCGTTTGGTCCCGGCGTGAGACTCTTCAGAAGCGCACATCCATGATCCTGCACGCGAGACACGAACCCAGAACATTCGGTCTCGCATAGGGGCTAGCATCCAACGATGTTAATGTTTAACTTTAACCGATCCACAATATTGAGCGGCCATCTTCCACTGCCTTCTGTGAGTAATTGCCTCACATCTGATACTGTTGGAGTCCAGTAGTTACGACTTCTCAATAGAACTCTGAGAATTACACTAGTGAGCACGTAGTGATTTTCAGTTTGAGTTTATGGAGATTGTTGACCGTGAATGAGCACTTCTGAGGAGTCCCATACTAGAACGAAACGGCCGTTCAGTTCTTTCAGGTTTACAATTGTGGTCTAACATTGACTGATCCACGATTTCAATGAAATTCAACGATCTTCACATTTCAAAAATGATAATTTTATATTGTTGCTCAATGCAAAGTTATGAATAGGTCATAACTGAATTTACATAAATGATTGCCAATTATTTTAAATGGTATCTAATTACAAAACAAGGTTGAACTAGATAGAAACTCTAAAGAAAATCTTTTAATTATTTTCCAGACTGATTGGTATATTAAGTAAAACATGGAATATTATGAACATTTATATCTCGGTCAACATTTATGGTTCATAAGTTTTATGCATCCATCTCAGTCATTACTATAATATTTTTGTTGAAATACTTATTAACGTCTTCTAGCTGGCCAAACGCAATATGTGTGACTTAAAAATGTGTAAAATAGAAATCAACAAAAGTTTAATGAATTTTCTCATGTAAATGAGTATAATATGAAGATTAATTCAGCTTTGCATGAGTGTTAAGGTTGACTATGTTAATCCTTTGTAAATAAGTTGTTGTATCCCATGGAGATTTATGAATGGTAACTTCGAGAACTATTTATGGACCAATGTGATATGTATATTTCCTACTGTATAATTGTTAAGTAACTAAACTATTCATAATCGTATCTCTCTTATTATAAGTTACATTTTGACCTATAAACTATTGTTATACGATTTACCATTCTCGAGTTATCCCCAGTCCATTAATTACTGTTCCCCCTATTCACACCCACATTTGGCCAAATGTTGTACAAATGTTATTTTCTATTTTATGGTACGATGTGGTCAGTTTGTTTGGTATATAAACTCAGTATGTTTGAGAATGATGATTCATATTGCAGAGGCTGTTATTGGTGTTCTGGACTTAACTGGCTGGGCTAGTCGGAAAGTAGGACTGATAAGTACTCAAGACTGCTCAATACGGGTTTTCGTGAATCATTGCTCTGATCGATAATTCACTCCTCTCTAATAGGCAGCCACACTCGATATAACATACATTAATTACAATGACTTCGTAAGTACAATTTACTCATTTTGTAAAAAAATAAATTCACCATAAATTTTATAATAGTTACAAAATTAAATGTACTGAAATATGAATTTTGTTTATGTAAATCAGTCTATTTAAGGTAACAACTAACTATTATGTCAAAAATCCATGCAACTGTCAATTGTTTTTATTAAAAACTGATATGGTTCACTCGCTGAATACAATACCTAGGTGGTAGTAGTAGTTCATCAGGTAGGATTATGGTATCTGTACAATTGCTTTTGTGTTTTAGGCTCAGTGGGAATTTTATCTGGTGAATGATTCATGGGTTTAACTGTTGAAAATAATTGATTATATGTGAATGGATCCAGTGTGTTAACAGAACACGGTTAGCTTGATCTTGTTAACAAACAACAGAAAGTCTTCAGATTTGATGCGAATCACATTTTGTGAGCCAGGATGTTATTGTGTGATTATAGTAACTCTCCTACAATCAATTTTGATTATGGTTAAATTTTGTTAAGCCCATTTTATTAACTTACTTAATATACAATGTTATTTGAACAGTAACAATCCACATATTTCTTTGTACTATTTTGATCAATATATTGTCTGTATAAACGGGAAGGCTTGATCACGACAGCCTATGCACATATCTCTCTCTAGCTAAAATGCTAATATCTTAAATATCGCTCGATGAGACATTCTCTTCTCTATGTTTATATGTACTCGAATCCTGTTATTGGCCTTTGCCTTACCTAGCTGCGCCTTGATTCGGTTTAACCATAAATTGCTTCTATATTCGCTCATACACACTGATTCGCTTCTCTGCTTCAAATCGGCTCGATGTGTTTGTAGCTTTGCTATCCATGCTATCCGCTAATAGACTTTAGTCGTCGCTTATTAATGCCTTTTGATTTTAAATACAGTTATTTTACTACTGGCCAGAAGTTTTAGAAATAATTCTCCTAGTGAATAATGCATCCTTGTACAAACTGATTCTTAATGATTCATACTATTATGTTTGGATTTTCAGCAATCAACAAGAAACCGTGTAATATAATGAACTCATGTTATTCTGCTGCATTGATTGTTCTTGTTTTAGTCGAACTTATAAATGGGAAAAACTATGAAATTCCTAATAAATTTGATTTCGGAAAAGATCTCATCAACGAAGATTAATGAAAAAAGTAGGAAGTATGAAAAAACGATAAGAGATGCTCATATGTTAATGAATGTGAATATTTTATAGGTCGAATGTATATGAGAATATTCTAGAATAAACAAACAAGAACATAAAAACAGAACTCTTTGACGAGACTATAATTTATGGACGAACCAATCAGATTTAGGATGACAGGTCTTGGATTTTGGCGCGAAATTCATTCATACATTTAGTTAGAGGGATATTTGACAATTTAACTGATATCAGTTCGTGATGAAAACTCTAAATCTAGTTCCTAACCCTAACGTTCTAATATAAGTCATAATCCTTATTCTTCAAGTAAGTTTATAACTCTCATGTAGCCCTAGTCATTAAGTGGACATTCTCAAGGTCACTGTAGTGTCGCTCAAAGGCCGTCCATAAATTATCGTCACCCTCTACTCTTAAAAAAAATTAAAACGTAATTCCTTTCTTTTCATTTCTTCAGATAATTCAAATCAAAATGTTTCTGTAATACTTCCATGTTTATTATGTAAAAGTATTCAACAATCTCCATATCAGTTATTAAATCATTTAGAAAATATTCATCAAATCAATTCAAATCAATTTACAACTGAACATAGAAATGGTGAAAATATTCCAGATACACAAATTAACATTGAACGACAACAACAACAACAACAACAGCAGATGGATTCATCATTAAAACACCCCTATACAAATCATAAATTAGTTATTACTGATCAGTTAACAAGTAATCTGTATAAATATTCGAAAAATTTTACAAATTATTTCAATCTATTTAATTTTATGTATAAAAATTTATTATATTCTCATCCTAAGAAGATTAATGAAGCGGAAACAATCATATCCAATTATTTAGTACCACTTAAAAATGTAAAAAGCCATTTAGTCCCTCATGAAACTGATCAGTTGGTACAAGTTGAACCCTTTTCTAATGTTAATCTTAATCAATTAAGTATGTTGAATGAAAATAATCAATCAAATGTGTTATGTTTTCATCAGAATAATTCAGTCAATGAAAATGTTATATCCTATGAATTATCTTTAAATAAAAATTCATTTTATTATTTAAATAAGGATAAAAGGCCTATCAAACCATACAAAGCAACTTATCATTCTAAAGATATTTCAGAGCAGACTTCTTATCCGAATCGAAATCTTTTTAATCCAATTAACAATACTAATGAAAATAATAGTACTGTGGTGAAAAAACAAACATCCAAATTAATAACTCATTTAAGACGTGATATATGTGAATATTGTGGTAAAATATTTCGAAATTGCAGTAATTTAACTGTACATCGACGTATACATACAGGTGAAAAACCATATCATTGTAATATATGCACATATTCATGTGCTCAATCGTCAAAATTGACAAGGCATATGAAAATACATAGTAAGCAACAAAACACTTGCAAATTAAAAACATCTAATTCTGAATATTCAGTGAAACATTTAAACAAAACAAAATTTAATGGTAATCAGTGTAATAAAAGTTTAACATCACATAAATATGAACATCATTTAGAAGCATGTAAATACGTTATATGAAAACTGATGAAAACATGAGTATGGTTTCCTGTTGACCACTTCCAACCACCATCTTATCTCAACATGAGTATGTTATTTCGTGGATAAGGGACAAGTATAAAAAGATTCCCTATAAGTAATCTGAAGATATTAGTTATACAAGAGCAAAAGTTAATAAGTTCTTACTTAAGCGCCAATGTTATAATCATTAAAACAAGGATTGATCATTTATCTTTCAAATTCAACTATTTATGTTTAATGGTTTTACTACTTATTTCAAAATGAGTAGGCAAAAGCCAATGTATTTTTATAATCTATATACACATTTTGGTATTAGCATTCACAGAATTTTGTGATTTCTTTGATTTTAAGATACAATTTTGGGATTAGTTACTATTTAGTACCACATTATAGGGGAGGGGGTAATATTAATCTTATCTGAAATGTACCGTGATTTGTGAATATTCATTTTTGAGGAGTTCTAAACTAAAGGGAATTAATTATCAACGGTTGTCAATGGTTTTTTTGTTGGTAGTTTACTGTTATGAGGAATGAAAAGTTTAAACTTGTAATCATTAGATTGATTCCTTAGTATCTCTTATCAACTATCTCCTTATCTCTTGAGATTTTCGCAGTGCTAAGTGTGATTCTGACAAGAATGTGAGGCATCTCCATACTGAATCGAACACTTGGAACCATATGAAATGAATGTGTATGTTAGAGTAAGGTTATTTTATTTTGTGTATACAGACTTATTGTATAGAGGCTAATATGTAATCAATAATCATACCCCAGAAGTATTCATTGATTATCGTTCAACAGTATAGCATTAAAATCCAATAATTGTATTTTGCATCACCAACTTTACCCTTGACCTCATTCAATATGCTGATCATATTGAGAATGTAACATAGTTTGTGTTATACATGAGAACTATATAATTTAGTCGATAAAATGGTAAAAACGTCAAATCACTGTCTCTAACAACCAATAGTATCCAGTGAAAAGTTACTTTCATAATTCAGTACTAGGTTGATTAAGGAAACGACAATTGTCGGGTTTAAATTTCACTACAGAAAACACTTACTGAAGAGCAGATTCTTTCAATTGGGTCTCTAAAAGGAAGTAGCACTCATCATGAATTCTATAGAAAGTTATTGATAAATACAACATAAATAAGACAGTTTTGTTAAATATTATGATCATAATTATAAGTAGCTGTATTTGTAGTAAATAAATATGAAATACTAAGGTTATCCATAAGTAGTTGTAGGGAGAGTATAGTTAAAACATATTAATATGAATGACTGGAGGTATCTTTGACAATCTCTTATGAACATATTCATTGAAGCTTAACCTTACATGCAGAATAAAGAACACAAACATATTGAAATTCAAAGCTTGAAATAGTTTTTGGTGAGAATTACTTACCAGGTAAACGAACAGGAAAATGACAGAAAACCCATTTAGAGAGTATTAAAATGTTATAGATAATTTCATCCATATGAATTGCATCATAATTTAAAACTCTCATAGAGGTTATAAATTCTAAGTTATTGGATTAATAAAACAATTCACTTTATTATTTACAGTTTAAACTGTATCAAGTTATTTATAGTTGTTGTCAAAAAGTAACATACGAGAGAAAAATATATAGGGAGATGATATGCTAAGCTTAAACAGCTCAACGGTTATTCATTAATTGCAAACTATCTATCAAATTTAACACAATTCCTAGAAGAATGCAAAAGCCTAATCCTCATAAACTTTAGCATTTAACAGAAGAATAAAAAAAACAGAGATTATCGTTGTAGGGCGTTGTTAAGGTTGTGGATGATCATGACTGAAGATCACTAATTGGCTGAATTTAGACATGTAAACTCATGAATATCAGCTTATACTTGAAGATCTTATGCTCTGTACCCTTTATTGTTGTGGATACACACCATTGAGGAGTCATATACTAGAATGAAACAGTTGTCCAGTGCTTCTTGGGTTTCTTCATGGTTATTTAAATAAGATCAGTTAGTAATATATACCACGAAAGATTATTATACACTTAAGATTCTAACGAGCTCAGTAAATTATAATCTAAAGTCGATTAACGGTTATATCAAGTTAGCGTTTGTACTTTATGTTAACATGAAATTCATGTTCACATAAAACTGTTTTCTGAATAGGGCATGTTGGTTACAGATGTTTCATTGATGTGACATATAGTTTTTAAACACCAATATCAAAAGTAATAGAAATTAATGGCTTATCGTAGGTCTTCTTAAACTATATTGTGATATGATTTGATTACTTATAGAAATATGATTATTTCTTATCAATTATCACTGCTTTTTCAGGATGTGATAGGTGAAACAACTATTATACATTTATTTACGATAGTATGCGACCATCTTCCATTGTCATTGGTGGACACCTTCCTCACACTCAACACGGTTTAGTTCCACTAGTCACGGCTTTTCACTAGAACTCTGGAAATTTCCTCTAGAAACTGGTCATTAGTAAACACGTTAATTTTCAGTCTGGGGTGGTGGAGGTTGTAGTATTTCATTGATTTCATGAACCGATCAGTGAAATTCAACAATCTTGACAACCCTGTACGGACTATTTTATATCTAATTGATTTAGATTGTCAGAAAAATATGTAATTGAATAAATGGATTTGTTCGACTGAGTATTCTGTTCATATCTCCAGAAGACGGTTCTTACTGTTAAGTGTAAATGTTCTGAAGTATTTTTAAGAAATTTGAACTGATCTGATTAGAATAAATTCAAACAAAAATTGAATTCAGTGTTTCGTAGTCATTTTTATCAGTCCTTTTTCGACTTAAGTTAGAAGCACCATCCAGACTATTCATGGTTGTCAAACAAAACTTAACCATTGTTATTTCAGATACAAAGTTCTAAAGTTATATTACTACTTGTTTTCCATTTCAGCTGTTAGCATTTCTGTTACATTATGTGAATTTTCTTTGGCCTCAGCTGTAATGTCGAAATGCTATTTAACCATATAGATAGATTCCATTCCAAAATTCAAGTCCTGCTATCTTCAGTTTCATTGGTTCGCCTATAAATTCTGGTCTCTTCTAATTAAACTGTAAAGTAAAATACGCTTCTCTTCGGTTTTTATGCAAGAAAGTAAAGGCAAGACTTGTAGAATAAAATTAATCCATTGGAATTTTTTGAATTCTACACCTTAACTGTATGCATATCAAAACAGTTCAATTAATTCACAGCGATAAAAATAGTTGATTTTAATAAGTGTGTATTAGACAACAAAACATTGTTTTCAATGGGATAACTGAGCCTATTTCCTTTTTTTATGGAGGGACGGGAATATGGGAAAAGCCTAAAGTATTCTATGGGTGAATATTACATACATTTTTAGTGGGCAATTATCAAATATCTAGTTTATGGTATTTTTATGTCTTAGTTATTAGTCGATGTGTTCTGGGGATTTTGTTAATTAATTTTTCAGGGTGGGGTTTGTGGAGATTGTAGTAATTTTAACTAAAAATTGATCTATTCTGGCCTTACAATGATTAGTTAGGTGTGGAGTATTCTCTTCATCCTTTATAATTGTTAATTTGATCGACTCATGAATTCAACTGTGAAAAAACTACAATCTCCACAAATCCCCATACTTATAATAATCATCATGTGCTTGCTAGTGACTGGCTTCAGGATGGACTCCCTGGAGTTCCAGTGAAATGCTGTGACCAGTGGAGTCCAATCCGTGTCGAGACAGCTATCTACCCCAGACAATGGATGAATGGTTGCGCAGCCATTCATGGATCGATGTGTTATATAATGACAACGTTGAATGCTGAATCAGTGATCTAGAGGTTAGGCGTTCACGTGCGAATCCCGTGCGCAGAATCGTGGATGCGCACTGTTGAGGAGTGCCATACTGAGACGGGACGGTCGTCCAATGCTCCCAGGTTTTCAATGGTGGTCTAGCTCACATCGACCCATGAATTCAACAATTAAAATTAATTAATTATCTATTACTCCGTTTTATATCACCTATAACTTAGTTGAGCACAAATTATTTCTTATTTGTGGTATAATGAATAGAGAATAATAAGGTAACCTAGCAGGGAGTTTTGGTATTGTGATTGGTTACTAAGATAGAGTAATATGAGTGAACTGATAGAGTTTAAGATTTTTAAGTCGTTTTCAGTTTTTGTGATCGTTAGTGGACTCTAGAATTAAATGAACCAATTAAACGGAAGAGTACATGGAGGTTTTGAACTCATGTTACTATTAGCTTGTATGCAGTTAAGAATGCAAAGAAATAAAATGAACACATTCAATTCTATTACTTTTGCTTTGTTGAAACCTACGAAGATAACTAATCATACACAAAACCAACAGGTATTTAACTCTTGTCTAATAACCCAGAAGTTTACTTCTATATGAATCGGGTCCAAAATGACAATAAAAACATAGAGAAACTAAAGCACCAAAAAAACATTCCTATGTATTCAATTCCAAAGTCTAATTTAGAAATTCAGAGTGAAATCAGATGTATTCGTATGGTTGAAGGTATCTTTACGTTAACCATATCATCAAAACCATAGTTTACACGTCAGATAATTACTTCAAATTGACAGAATTCTTAAATTTTACCTTGTGACAGGATCCTGAAGAAAAAAGGAAATTTTACACTTAATAGACAAGGTATAGAAGTAAATCTCTGTTATCATACGCACGCATTATTTGCCTTAACCATTGGAGAGATAAATTATTTCAATCTTTTTACTTTTATTATAACCTACATGTTTGACCTTTTCAACTTCTCACGTGTAACCTTGAGCATGTTATATACATGTGTGTATGATAGTATGCATGTGCTTGTGTGTATCTTTGACGTCTGTATGTGTTGAGTCACGTTTTAGTCAAATTGAGTAGACCGAGAAGCCTTTCTCCACACTGTACCTCTTACTGTTTCCGTGTTAATGAATATCTGAAATAAACTTTTCAATTTCAGTTCGTATTTGGCTTTCATTAGCACTGGTAAGCAAAGATGGATAGTTTTTGATGCTGGTTTGTTCTCTGAGCTGGAACCA